GTTTAACTCATAAATATGTGGGTATCTTTGCTAGATTTAGCGGTATCGGGATATGGAGTAAACACGGATCGGGATTGCTCATCTTTCTGTCTCGGAACTGAAAAATCATTGATCGGGATTCGAAAAACCCGAGATAATCCCGCCCGATCCCGACCGGGATTCTGATCCCGCTGAACTCTAATCTTTACGATATTTTTGGCGAGGATGGAGGTAGTTGGATCAGCCTCTACCCCCCAATGATCTAAATATTTTCATATTCGATGTATGTTTACGGTATATTTTTACCAAACTAACCCAGAAAATGGCTTGAAACTTTAATTTATCGCCCACCTTTTTAAATGCTTCATCGCTGAATATTTTGTCAAATGTTTCAACCCTTTTAATAAGAATATCTAAGATTTCGACATTTTCGCTGTTAGGTCTTTCCAGATGTTTTTTGTAATGTAAATGTATTTCCAAGTTTGAAATATTTCTTTTTTTCATTTGTGCAATAAAATTTGAAAATCCCAATTTCGTTCCCCTATCGTATATTACCTTGGTTGCAAATATTTTGTCGTAATGTAGAATAATTTTGTTCAATTCAAATTTTGGACGTGCCAAAATAATGTCGTATAAAGTATCGAAATCACTTTCATTTAAAGTGGATTCATTTGAATTGTCATAAAGTGGTTCTATGGAAAAAATACAGTATGTAAATGCTCTGAAGCCTTGGTCTTATTTTTCAATAGGTCTCATTTTGTGGGATATAAAATATTTTATTTTTCCACTCTCACAAATATTCCAGCCTCACTTTGTTTAGGCTTACATAATTTCCTTATACCCTTGTTATAAGGAACTAGTAAGGTTGTCGGATAATAGAAAATTTTTGGATATCCGGTTCCTCATCTGATAATTGTAAAGCATATATGTAGCTATTAATTTCCTAAGGCTGAGCAGTAGGCGGCGTGGTGTAATGGCTAACACATCAGTCCGGTCTACTGAAGATGCTGGTTCGCTCCCAGCCGCCGAATAACCTTTTGCTCTAGCTAAAGTAGAGAAATAGCTATAGCCCTGCTGCTTTACTTAATTTTAAATATCCGGCTTTTTTCGGATCGGGACATCCTGATCCGTCAACCTCACTGAGTATTTATTCATTCACACATCTAGGATGTAATTTATCTGGGAAAAATACTTGAGGAATGGTAATTGAGAAAATCCTCCTAGGATTATTGAGAAATTTTAATTTCTATTAAAAATTTAGCTTCTATTTTTAATTTTTTTATAGTTTTGTCTTAAGAATATCTTATAGCTCAATCTAATAAAAATTAGCCAAGAATATTCCAACCTTTTATCAAAATATCGTAAATAATATTTGCCAGCTCTTCGTGCTTGTCATTTACAAGCTTTCTCAATAATGACATTCTCGAATTTGAATTTGTCTGATAACCAGCAAATGTTTTATCGAAGCATTTGACCAAATCCTCCTTAAACACAAGCGAATTTTTAATTTAATCTTTCGTTTTAATTAAAGAGTTTAGCCACCGGGCAGGATTCACCGGGCAGCATAGCCACCGGGCAAACTCCTCGTAGTTATTCCATGCTTTCACTCACCACATACAGGAGCTACCTGAGCTACCAGGGCATCGTCTAATGGTGGAGGGGGAGGGCATCGATAATTTTTTTAGATCGTTTAACCACCGCTTAAGCGTTTTAAAGCCTCTAAGTGAATCATACTTACATTAATAAACCTCCTTGTCAGCCTGATCTCTTGGAATTATTTTTAAATTTGCCTAATTTTTGAATGTTCATACATATTACTTATGTCATGGAAATACCAAAAATCCCCTAGAAATAAAAATTTCTTACATTATAAATTCTCAACACTTTGTTGCAATACACATGTGTTAGTTCTGCTCTACGCCATTGTGGAAGAGGCAGAAATATTTCATGAATTTTCATCAATGGAATATTATCAATTATTTTGTCTGCATCTCCTTCTTTTTTAATCCCTTTAGTTTTTGAATTAATTTCCTTGAGAATTAATATCAAGGATTTTCTTTGATTGTTGATATCATTAATTGGGTAGAAACGACTACATTTGAAGTCTACGGTCAATTTATATTGGGTTAGTGGATAGTGTTGGTCTGCAAGTAATTAATATTAGATCTATAGACTGTAATAGACATAGTTTCATATCCGGATCTGAAAAAAGTCAGGATATCCAGATATTTTCGATCGTGATATCGGATACGGATACCATAGTATTCACAGACCTTATATACAGCAAATAGACACATTTGAAAGTTTTAAACCCAGTAAGATTTTGGGGTACTTTGTTCATATCCTGCCCCCCCCCCCACTCATGTTTGAGTCACTAAAATTAATATTAAACGATTCCTCTCACCGAGCTAGAAAGATTGATAACAAAAATGACAGGGATCAGAAATATTCTAGAAGGTTATGGCTTTACGCCGTTATGGCCGTAACCCTTTTGGGTATCCCCATTTGAAGGAAAAAATAATTGGCATTAAAAAAGGAGGGAAATAAATGATTGACAGTAAAAAAGGGAGATTAATTTGCGACTCAAACAGGAGTGGGGGCAGGATATGAACAAAGTAACGATTTAGGCTATTCCCAAACACATTGGAATGAATCTAGAAAGCATGTTTTAGAACAATTATTAATTTGTCGGCTTTATAAAAACATACCAAAGCTATTTTGTCTAGACATATGAGGATGTATTGTTTGTCCAGTTTGAATAACAACATCCTCAGTTTCCTCAAAATTATTTTTAACGTCCCAAAATCCATTTGAACAAACAAATAAAATAGGTAGGAGTGACAAATACAATTTCATTGAGGAATTTAATCCATGACAAAGCTTAAATGACAAATAATTTTGTGTGGAAAATCTCTATTATTAAGGGTCCATTCAGTTATTGGGCATGTATAAGATCTCATTGAAAAATCTCTTTTAAAAATTAGGGTTATCGAGTGGTTCCAGATCAATTCAAGCATGGTCACTGGATCTCTTCAGTGATCACTGAATCTCTTCGAGGAGTAGCCGTTTAAAAAATAAATTCCGGATTTTGTAAATAAGGAATTTCTGTCCCACAAAAACGTCGGTAATTCCCAATTTTGGGAATTGGGTCGTCTAGAACCCTGTCCAAAAATGATCCCCACAAATGATCACACAAATAACTCAAAGTAAATGAAATAAATATAAAATATTAATTTGCTTAATCAGAAAATAAGAGCTTTATAAAAATATTTGGTCAGCTTTTCCAACCAGGACCTTATGAAAAATTATTAAATATTAGTTATTAGACATTCAACCATTATTTCACATAATATAACAAAACTTATCCCATATTTTACAACTATTGTTTATTTATTAAAATTTCTAATTAGATATTATTTTATAATTATTTAGATTTTAAAGTAATGCTAAAAATAAAACTGGGAGCAGCTCTCATGGTGAGTTAGAGTGAATAGAATCAGGCTATTTATTAAATACGATTACGAATAGCTCCATCGATAATCTTGTATGAGGCGTGCCTCCTCCTTTAATGAGGGCCATGTCTCTCTTAGGTTAAAGTGCATTTATAAAGTAAACAATACAAAAAAGGTACAAAAAAGTACATAAAAATGGATACAAAAAATCGAGAGGCCCGAAAGGTTGAGCACCTCCTTTGAATTGCCGAAATAAGTGATGTTACACTCATGATGTTAAACGCCTTATTATAAGAAAAATCATACAAATTAGAACAAAATAGATCATTTTTAAATGAACTTTGTTGACTGAAAATAATTTTAAAAATTAAATATTTGTCTGACCAAAAAAATAAGTTTCAAATGCATGTTTTTTCATAATGTCTTGAAAAAAAATTCTCGAAAAGTGAAGTTCAGAAATTTTGTTTTTATGATGGTCCTAGCAATTCGAGACCCGAATCTTAAAGCCTCGGTGAATATTATGAGAAATTTCTAAAATTTTGTCAATTTTTTGTAAATTTTTTGTTTAAAATTATTTGTTTAAAATTATTTAAATTTTTAGACAAAAATAAATTTTTTGAAACTACTATTTTCCAAAAAATTTATCCTCGGAAGAACTTTTTCGTCCGAAAAAATTTTCAAAAAAATCTTATATCAATATTCATTTAAGGTACGTAAATCTTCTAATAAAAGCACACTTCTAATATACACACACCCTACGAGAGGATCGAAAAATACAAGCACATTTGCCAATTGAAGCACATCTCTAAGATAAGCACACCCTACGAGAGGATGTGCTAATATTTTATTAGATGATTTACGGTAGTTAATATTTAATATTAATAAAATAATATTAAAATAATAAATAATATTAATAATAATTATTTATTAGTAATATTATTGAAAACAAAATAATAAACTTATTTGTGATTACAAGTTCAAAATTAATTTATCAAATTAAATACAATTAATTTGCATTAAATTTATCAAAAAATTATCAGCATTTTTAATTGTAACTTGTTTCTTTTAATTATCTACTTCTGATTTTCAAAAAATTGGTTGGAATCAAAATACTCATCAGAACCAGATGACTTTTTGTTTTTTATATCAGGCTTGGTTACTTCCATCTAAGTAAATAATATTGGATTTAATAATGTTTTATGGAACACGCAGCGGCTGAAACTCTTCAGAGACATGATCAATTCCAGTATTTTGATTTATTATAGCATATCTTCATTAGAAGTCTACTGTTATATAATGCTCACCTTCTAGATTAGTGAGACCGAGATTTTTGTTTTAAACGACGTCAAGGTTAGGTCTATGTATAAGTATAACGATCGTTTATATTATAATTGTTGACTAGGAGGGAAGGCTAAACAGATCAAGATACCTAACTGAATAGGTATCTTGATCTGTTTAGCGTTCACTCCTAGGTCTGTCCAGCCTGTGCTTGTACCTCCAAGGCCTATCCAGTATGTTCCACAACTTCGGAATTAAAACGGAGCTCCTTAACCTGCGCTCGGAAACAGCCTATATCTGGAAGCTCCTTATCCCTTTATTATAAAATACCTTGGTTTTAAATTCTAAACACTCTTTGATTAATTTATCAATTCGTTTTCCCATTGAATTTTCTTTATTTCCGTCCTTCCATTCACTCACAGTCTCAAAATCTAATCTTTTCTCTATCGCATTTTGTGGATATTTTTTTTCAAAGTTTTGTTTAAAAATTTCCAATTTTTCACAGAATTGTTTTTTGGTTTCTAACGAATTGTCGGAATTGTTCTTTTCGATGTTTACTTAATAATTTTATTATAATTGGGTATTATAATGGATGGATTTAGTGGTTATTATGTTGGACCTTCTATTTTAGATACCCGAAAAATATCACATAAGGGGTCGTAGAGAGTTGCCTCTAAGCGATACCTACTGTGTAAAATACAGCTTATTATGAGCCTACATCTTTTTATAAGGATTTCAGCTTCGCGATCTAAAACTGATGTGAAGGAGTCCGACAAGTGTCTAAGTCCAACCCTTCATAAACTCATCATATCTATAATCTTAAGCATCATAAATCTACAGGTTACCTTCATACTCATACTCCATCTCTCCCAATTTTCTCTCCCATTCATATTCATCTTCAATTTCTCCACAACAAGCCTTACTACATTTTGAAGATATAGTATATTTAAAAAACGAGAGTAGGCCGTAATAGTTTCCATCAATCTTTTTTAAATTTTTAGTTTTTTCCAATATCCCCTCGAATTCCGACAAGTTTTTAGAATTTTTATTTTGCTCCTCCTTCAATTTGGTTTCATTTAAAGTCAGTTTTTCCAATTCTTTTTTCCATTTCTTCAACATTTTTTTGCTCTTCCTTTTTCCTTTATCCAATTTTTTAAGTCCTTCCGCTATTTTACTTCCCCCGATATTTAATCGCTCTATTAACCCTTTCTTATTTTCTTCTTCAAGTTCTTCCTCGAATTCTTCTCTCAATTTTTCTTCCCTATTATCCATCTCCTTCTTCAATTTATCTTCCTCTTTATATGCCTGATCTAATTCTTGTTTGGATTTTTCTTGTAATATTTTCACTTCATCAGACCTATGTTATAAAATTTTATGAATAAAAAAGACCCATACTGAAAATATTCGGGAGATAAAAGTAACTTCGAAATTTCTCCGATTTTTTCGTTCTGTCTGCGACAGGTTTGATAGGGGCCTTGTTATATAGGGGCCCTCCCTTAATTACTCGTCTCCCTCCCCCCTCCCCATCTCCCCAATTACCCCTTGTATGCCCCCTCCATTATCTCTGTATGCCACATGAAATTGGAAGCTTAAAACTATGAAGCACTTGATCAGAAGCACTTGGAAGCTTAAAACTAATGATACAATTGATCAGTTGGAAATAATAATCAGTTAGAATATTCTAGTTATACCTTTTGCTTTTCAATTCGTCAATTTTCCATTTAGCCTTTCCATGATTCTTTTTCAGTTGAGTTTGTTCCAGCTTTTTTTCCAACTCTTCTCTCTCCAATTTTAGTTTCTTCAAGTCCTCCTCTAAACCTTTCTTCAGCTCTTCCCGTTTTTCATTTTTCAATTTCTCTTCCAAACTCTCCATCTTCAAAGCATTATCCTTCATTTTTTTCTTCACCTCCATTCCTTCCAGTTTCATATTCAATTCAAAAACATCTTTCTTTAATTCAAACAAATCTTTTTTAAACCCTTCCACATTCCTTCGTATTAAGCCTATTTGCTCTTCACTCACTTTATTCCTCAATCTTTCTTCCACCTTCTTTTCCTCCTTCAATTTCTTCTTCAATTCAACTTCCCTCAATTTCTTTCTTTCAATTTCATTTCCCAATTCAATCTCTTTAATCTTATACTTCAATTCATCCTTCTTGTCTTTATCCTTCAATTCTTCCTCTCTCAATTGTATATCCATATGAACATTCTTATTTTTTATTTCAACCGATTCTCTTAACGCTAAATCTTCATTCATTTTTTCTTCTGCAAACAACTCATCCATACTTTTTAGTATCTCAAACATATCCCTTCCATAGTGAATCACTATAAGGTCCGTTAATTCTGTTTTAAATAAAAAAAATAAAGGGTACTGTAGATCCCTTCAAATGAATTGATCTCTATGGCTTATAGTTGTTTTACTATGATTTATAAGCATCGGCGTATGATTAAAATGACATTACACTAGCGTTTGGATCATTGGTCTAATTGGATCATACTAGCCCGGTTAGCTCCTTAGTGTCTTTAAAGAATTAATTGATCTCTTCAGAGATAACTTGATTGAACGATTATTGCACTCAATCAAGTACCTATTGTCCTTAACAGATTGATCTAACTCAATTAATTGTCCACTCCAAGATAAATTGAAACAATCATTTTTCTATATCATGCCCATCTCAACTTCGATTAATTGATTCCCGTATCAATTATCTTTGGAGTAATTGATCCCTTCCTATTTATAGGGTGTCCGGAAAATTGGGCTCAGGAAAATTGGGCTCCAAGATTTTTCGGAAAATTGGGCTCCAACTTTTCGGAAAATTGGGCTCCAGCGGAAATTTGGGCTCTTCGTGAAAAAAGCGGAATATTGGGCTCTAAAATTTTGGGCTCCAGAGGAATTTTGGGCTCTATGGAAAAAAGTCAAATCATGCAAAAAAAGAGATGTTTGTATGGGGTACACGCCAATGTACTGCCGCCGTTGGTGGAACAACATCTCCCATTGATAGAACAACATCCCCCGTTGACGGAACAACATCCCCCGTTACCCCCGTCATTCTAACAACATCCCCCGTTGACCCCCATCATTCTAACAACATCCCCCGTTGACGGAACAACATCCCCCGTTGACCCCCATCATTCTAACAACATCCCCCGTTGACGGAACAACATCCCCCGTTACCCCCGTCATTCTAACAACATCCCCCGTTGACGCAACAACATCCCCCGTTGACCCCCATCATTCTAACAACATCCCCCGTTGACGGAACAACATCCCCCGTTGACCCCCATCATTCTAACAACATCCCCCGTTGACGGAACAACATCCCCCGTTGACGGAACAACATCCCCCGTTGACGGAACAACATCCCCCGTTGACGGAACAACATCCCCCGTTGACCCCCATCATTCTAACAACATCCCCCGTTGACGGAACAACATCCCCCGTTGACGGAACAACATCCCCCGTTGACCCCCGTCATACTAACTACGTCCCCCATTGATATTGCATAATTTGACTTTTTTCCATAGAGCCCAAAATTCCTCTGGAGCCCAAAATTTTAGAGCCCAATATTCCGCTTTTTTCACGAAGAGCCCAAATTTCCGCTGGAGCCCAATTTTCCGAAAAGTTGGAGCCCAATTTTTCAAAAAATCTTGGAGCCCAATTTTCCAGAGCCCAATTTTCCGGCACTCATTTATAGATACTCCAGAGAAACAATAATAACCTTCTCATCTACTCTATCCACGTTCAGAAAGGAGGTGAGAGGAGGCATTACTTAATCTCATTAATTTATCCCAAATCTGTTGAACGTCCCGGCTGCCCATCAACCATTAAAGGTGGGTATAAAGTTCAACCAGTTTAATTGACCCTCCAGAGCTAGCTAGATAAATCAATTTCCCTTTTACGTTCAATTTATAAACCTCTCCTGATGAATTACATCCGGTTGAAATATTTGAAACATGGGGGGGGGGGGGGGGGGGGGTAAATTAATCGAGCATTTACGATATCTTAATTAAAATTTATTACTCATATTATCCTTCTCAATGAAATGCTTCATACGGTTTGCAAGGTCCTCTCTGTACTTCTTTTTTCCTGCCAATCCGGTTATAATTAACATTCTTTTGATGTATTCAGGAAGTTCTAATCTTTAATAAAAAAAGCAATTAATTTTCTAAAATTAATACTATACACTTTTGGAACCGGAAAAATTTAACGTATAATGAGGGTCCTAAATAGAGGGTATCAATAGAGGGTATCACTTAAGCAGCTTTCAAGCTATTATCCAACTGACTTTCACAAAACCGTATCTTAATTAAAGGGGTGTCTAGTAATATTTTCTTGTGAAACTTGGTTAGATACTGTGGGGAAGTTGCTGATTGATACCTCCTATGTAAGGTACCTCATTATAAGAAAAATTTCTTTAGTGAACGTATTATTTTACCCTTTAGATTCGCCAACAATCGTAATAGATCTCTGCAATTTCGCCTTCCTTTTCTGCGTTTCTTGAAAATCCTTACTTTCACCTATGCATTTATTAAAAAATTCATTCGAAAATTCTGAAACGCTTTCCGACTTGTAATCTGAATTTATTATGAGTACTGCAAAGGCGTGAGTGAAGCTAGATGACACTCCATTTTCATCAATACTTAAATCACCTTTTATAATATTGCTTATATTATCGCAAAATGATATTATCTGATTAGAAATCTGTAAAAAAATTTTAGATTATGTTTTGAGGCGTCAGATTGCTTAAATACTAATCTCATTCCAGACCTCATCGTAACAGATCTCATTCGTAAAATATCAAAAGCCTTGATGGGATTGAATATGAGAGCCAAGCCATATCACCCGATATATTTTCTTCCGTTGGTTTAATTTTTGTTAAACGGATATCCGAAACTGGAAAATGTCAGGATATCCTAAATCTCGGTTTTAAACGGGTCTGGCTCCTGCTATCAAGAGAGTTTCAAGGAGAGAACCTGTCCTTATTGCAGAATATAATTTCTTATAAATCCAACTTATACGGTATTTCTGAATACTTGGTGTTATCAATATAAGCCCAGCTATCGAACACCTGAAATCGAACCTGTTTAAATCCTTCATTAGAGAATAATTCATCATTTGTTTCAACTCGTCTAATAAGAATATCATAGATTTCGACATTTTCGTTTTTATTTTTTTCCAAATGTTTATTATAATGTAAATGTATTTCTAAATTCGAAATTTTATTGTTATTTTCCCTCATTTTTTTCATGTAAGGTATAAATACTTCATATTTTCTACTATCGCCCATTATACTCATTGCAAAGATTCTGTCATAGTAAAGAATAATTTTGTTCAATTCAAATTTTGGACGTGCCAAGATAATGTCATATAGAGTATCAAAATCTTCTTCATTTAAACTGCCAGAATCTGTTTAATAGAAGAATGTTAAACCAGAGTTGGGCCGGGTTGAGAAAAGTGTCGAGTCGGGTTAGTTAAAATTTGAACTTGAGTCGGATTTTTTGGAGGTTTTGGTGATATAATATATCTAGAGGTTAATATGTATCTTCCATATATACTTAAAATCCGCCGATATCCTCTCAAATCCCCGTCATATCCGCAATCGGGGGATATATCCAGATTTGCGGTAATATAGCGGGTGATATATGGATATATTTGGGTCTAAGTTATTTTTTCCTACCCTTAGCATTCATTCGAGCCTCATTTTAGAACTTAGCATACCTACCTACTTCTGGCCAAGCTTCTATAAGCTTTATATGTAGGCTTGTCATAAGTATTTAGGTATAATTATCAAAAAATATACCTTTTTTCAAAATATAATAAATAATTTTCGCCATCTCTTCGTTTTTGTCATTAATAAGCTTTTTTAACAAATACTTTCTCATACTTTTAAATGAATCATAATCAGCAAATATTTTTTCAAAGCATGTTTCCAACTTTTCCTTAAATTTTTAATTTTCTATTTTATTGAAGCCTTAAAAACTCGAACCCCCCACCCCTCAGTAATAAATAAAGATTTCTTACATTATCAAGTTTCAACACTTCTTTGCAATACACATGTAGTAGTTCTGCTCTACGCCATTGTGGGAGAGGCAGAAATACTTCCATAATTTTCATCCACGGAATATTATCAATTATTTTGTCATCTCCTTTTTTAATCTTTTTAGTTCTTGAATTAATTTCTTTAAGAATTAATATCAGGGATTTTCTTTGATTGTTGATATCATTAATTGGGTAGAAGCGACTACATTTGAAGTCTACGGTCAATTTATATTGGGTTAGTGGGTAGCGTTGGTCTGCAATTAATTATCGTTATTATATACATACAGTCTATAATAGGTCACTTTAATATTTAAATTTGTTAGTTGCTAGATTTAAAAAGATTACTGTTGTGTCCGCACTCGCAGAAAGAATATAAATGAAAATAAATATTCATTGGGTTGGATGGTGGCACAGTCGGTTGTGCTTCGGTATTGTCTCATTCCGTGATTGTTAAATTTCATCTCCCATCCGATGAATTTTTCCACAGCATGAACACGTGTACAATAGTAACTCAAATCCTGATATCTGCTCTCTTGAACATAAACCCGGAACCCGATCCGATAAATTTTAAGAAACCCGTTCCTAAACTCAATCCAACATTTTTTTCAACACATCAGCACTGATTGACACAGTCATTTTGGCGGACGTGAGTGATAATTTAAAGTCCGGGGCAGCGCATTCCTTTGCATACGATTGAGTAATTTTCATGGGTTTTCACTTAGGGATTATAGAGTAATGATTGTTCCTATTGTGACAACCCCAAGCCTTTGTAAAAAAGCTATAAAGCTGTCTGTTATAGATGTCGCTTAATTTTGGCAATTTTTAGACCATAAAAACATACCAAAGCTAGTTTGTCTAGACATATGAGGATGTATTGTTTGTCCAGCTTGACTACCTACATCCTCACTTTCCTCACAATTATTTTTAACATCCCAAAATCCATTTGAACAAACAAATAATATAGGGAGGAGTGAAAAATATAATTTCATAATAAAATTCTTGACAAAAATAATAGACGAGTAATTTTAGGTGGTATTACTCATGAAAAAATCTCTTATATTAAGATATCCATCAGAAATGGGACCAAGACATTATCCCTTTCAAAAATCCTTGTTAGCGAGTTCGAGAGAGATCTATTCAATATCTTGATTCTCAGGTCAGATCTTTAGTCCTTTTCAGTCTCTAACCGATAAAAATATTCCCGGTTCGTGAATCTGGCTCCAGAGGATATTCTACCCAAAAACAATGGAAATGAAAAACACTAGCTTTTTCAATCAAGAACAAGTACTGGTTTCATAGCAAATGTTTATTCAACTGTCCATTCCCAACCTAAGGAAAATTATTAAAGCTTATCTAAATATTTAGCCATTACTTTCAATAATAACTTAACATCCCCCAAAATTTTCAATTAATATTTATTTATTATTATAAAAATTTAATTTTATTTAAATTTTAAATTTAAAAAAATTAAATGGATGTCAATTAAAGTGAATCCGGCTATTTAATAATTAGGCGCGCGTATATCTCTGTCAATAATTTTTAAAGATGTCTGTCAGCTGCCTTAATAAGGGCAATGTTTCACAACACTTATTTTTATTTTAAAAGTGCATTTAAAACACAAGACTACAAAAATAAAAAACAATATGGGATTACATAATAAGCTCTATATTTATTTTCGATTTCCAATGAATTTTTTTAGTGGAATCAAGGTATAGGAATTTTGGGATAATGATTGGATCTTTCAGCAGAATTCACCCACTATCTTGTGGGGCTAATTGGTGCAAGGGTGGCGCACAGCCAATTTATCTGCGGATTTGAATCCGATAATTAATCCTATTAGTTTATTATGGAGGCAAGGGTCTTTACTTAATAACCAAAAAGTTTCAAATCACTCCGGCAGCCACTCATTTGGGAATGGCAGAAAATTCCACCTCTAATGAAGGTTTATGGGTTCCATGAATTCTATGCTTCCGAAAAATTGGAATTTTGACATAGCTCTTTTATTACTGCGCGATTTTTATAGTTTTCTACAATCAAGTTTTTTCTAAAATTATCCTGGATAAAGTTAGCACTGCTCCCAATGTATAAAAAATGCGAGATCCAATTCAAAATTTTATACAAGCTAAAATACAGGGATATAATAAAAAGTAAAAGGATTACTGTATTCTTCTAATAGTGCGACTGTCTCTATTAGACCACCCCTTCTAATAAACCGACCCTCTAAGGAAAGTTGAAATATAAACCGACCGGTCGTCTATTAGAAGAAATACGGTATATTGGAAAAATTTACTCGAATAAATACTTTCCTTATAATAATTGCCCCCTCCATCTAGAGCAAGAATCCCCCCCCCCCGAAGCCCGACTTTTTACAAAAAATTTTCAAATAAGGAATAAATCTGTCAATATTTCCATGATTCAGCATTAGAAGAAATAATAAGGCTCATAAAAATAGTTATACTTTGCCTTCCTACTTCCTAAGAAACCTCTCAGCGAGAGATGAAACAATAGGTACCCAGGGTATTTACTTGAGTAAATAAAATAATAATAAATATGGATATGTAATAATAAATGAATATCTATATGATATTTATATGTTCACAATGCTCTCCCTTACACCTCTCTCACTTGAATTTTAATGACTAGATTACTGAGGTTGGGCTCGAAAAAAATTACATAATAAATATTTACATAATACAAGAATGCCTCACAAGCTCTTAATTAATTCTGTCACTCACTTGAGTTTTACTGACTCGATTCCTGAAGTTGGGCTCGAAGTATCAGATGGCGGATAACTCAAATCAATCTCTTCTTGTCCATCTGAATTTATTTTTAAAATCTATGTATCATTTTATTAAATCTTACTGTCATTATCAACAGTTGAAATCCCATCGTTAATCTATAATTTAATTTTAAATATTATTTTCTCTCAATTATCTCCCTACCAGATTTTCATTGTTTTGATTAATTCCAATCTCTATTCCGTTTTGTTTAAATTTTTCGACAAATATCTTTTTTAACAATTCAAATTTAACACCCAATCCATTCTGTTCAATCATCTCTTTTATAATTCCCAATAAATCTCTTCCATTTTCGACTATTAGAAGAGACAATAATTCTGAATTTGGAAATTTTAATTTATCGTAAGTGCTAAGAAATACTCGGTTCTTTAAGTGTCATTAGGAGGGGAGCTGATAATAGGCGGTGGCTCGGTTCTATAGGTGTCATTAGGAGGGGTAATAAGGCGGTGGAGCCCCAGTTAGGAGGAGGTATTATTAGTAGGAGAGCTGGTTTCGTTCCGACACTCCAGGCTAAAAGAAATCTCTCCAGAACACCTTGTGTCCCAAGTAAAATCTGCGGAATAAATTCCATAGAGTAAATATATCGAGTTATCTAACTTATCGCGCTACCGTATATGCTAATTTTTTTTAATTTTTAATTATCTCGAATATAGGTATTCCTCAAATAGGTATACTATTCCTTTATTCCTACCCAGGGTAATTATTGTTCGAGCCTCTTACTAGAGAGTTTTTATCTCTTTAAAAATTATACCTTCATATTTGTCATTTTCAACATAAAATTTTATACGGTTAACAATATATTTTTTATATTCCTCCCCATCCAAACGAGTCTTAATCAGCATTCTCTTTACACAATCCGGGCGTTTATTTTCGGGTATTGTTTTAATGTATCCTTTAAAGTCTTGATGCTCTGTATCATTAACATACTTAATAAGAATTTCCCAAACTTTTTTATACTTTTTCTCCTTTTCCTTGCTGTTTTCTAATTGTTTAATCAGACTCGAATCAGTAGTGTGATTTCCAAACTTCAGGTATTCAGGCATAATACCCTTCTTTTCAACATTAGGATAAAATTTTTCATATTTCTCTATAATAGCTTTTAAATCTGATTTTTTCCTGGCCAAAATAATAGTGTACAATGCATCATAATCTATCTTTTGTGCTGAAAAATATTTTAAAAATGATTTTTAGGTCTAAAAGTCAGTGTCATTTTTTGTCATTTACAGTCTTATATGAAGAGGAAAAAAATAATTTATCATAGTATTAGGGAAGGAGGGCGTTAGTCACTCCACTCCGAGCCCTGAAGAAGAGCTCCCAATCTATGATCGGTTCAAGCTGTTCCTCCATCAATTAACCCACTCCTATAATATTTATCAAAAAATAGTTTTATTTCTATTAGGAACGGGGTTTTGGCGAACCCCGAGGTTTACGGCGAACTTCGGGGTTTAGGCGAACCTCGAAGAGGTATTCCAATATCCTCCATTTACCATCGCCAGAAAATTTTGTTTCAATAATTTCAATTGGCAGATATTCGAACAGCTTTTCTTGAAAATGGCAAGATGGCTAACATTTATGGCAAAGGGCGGATATTGGAATACTGAACCAGCTTAAGCTGGGTAATTAAAGACATTATTAGATAACCAAAATTATTCATAATGTTAAGATCTTCATGTGAGAAAGGCTTTTATTAACTCACATGAATTTAGAATATAATAGAGACGTTTAGCTATCATCTCGTTCTTATCATTAACTTCATGTAGTTGTATACTGTGTTTGTATTCCGCGAAGAGAATATCAATTGGTTTATTTATCTAAAAAAATTTTAGGAAATTGTGTCAGTCCTCACTAAGATTTTTCGATAGTATACCTTCTCAACTTCCAGACAAACTTGTGTCAATTTCTCAATTCTTTTGTTGATTGAATGTTCACTGCTTCCATTAATCCATTCTTCTACTGTCTCAAAATCATTTCTTTTTTCTATTACATTTTTGGAATATTTGGTATTCATAATTTTAGTAATGTCATGTACATCCTCACAGAATGCTTCCCATTCAGTTAAATGTTTAAGCATATTCTTCTTTTTTAATACAACTTTAAAAAATAAAATTATGGCTTTATTAGATTAGCATTTAATTTTAGAGGGCAATTCGTGCAGATCTCAATACTCTATCAAATTGGGGTTGACTTTAGTTTTTGAAAAAATTGATCATCATTTTACATTTAAATCATCATTTCAAATATACACTGTATGTCTCGCTCGTTATATAGATCCCAACGAAATAGTCAAGCTACTACGGTATCTACGCACCAGAGCTGCGTCGAAATAAAAATATCTTCGAAATTCGGAAATCGAAAATCGAAAGAAATCCATAAATATCGAAATCGAAAATCGAAATTTTATAAAAAAATTCGAAAATCGGAAATCGAAAATCGGCAGAAAAAAACGTCGAAAATCGAAAATCGGTAATCGAAAATCGAAATTTTTTTTAAATAAATAAAAAATTTAAACAATCCGCAATATAGAAGAGATATAAGGGTTAATCTTGAAATATAAGGGGATTCAATGGATTAATAGTCTTAAGGAATATCAGTGATCGGATATCGGATACAGGATTATGGGGTCCGATTTATATATGGGGTCCGATTTTTCCGATTTCAAATTTCCGAAAAAAATTTTGATTTCATATTTTCGAGTTCCGACTTTTGAGCCAGTCCGATTCTTCTATTGGGATAATTAGTAAGGCATTTTACTTAGGTAATTGATGATTACCTTTATATTCATATTCCAAACTCCCCAGTTTCACCTCCATTTCATATTCTTTTTCTGTTTCTCCATAACAAGTAGGATTAAAATTTTTTGACGTTGCATAATTGAAAAATGAGAAAATGCCATTATCATTTTCAATTAGCTTAAATCTTGCCAAATCTTTTAAAATTTTATCTGCTTCAACAGACAATTTATCTATTTCTTCCTTCAATTTTCCCTCTTCCTTTATTCCTTTTTCAATTTCTTTTTGTATTTTTCGCATATTTTCTTCCTCCTCTTCTTTTTCAATTTTCTCTTCCTTAATTCTTCTGAATTCTTCTTTAATTTCAATTTTCATTTCGCAGATATACTTCAATTTTAAATGATAATTTTTTCTTGATCGAATATTCTTCAATTTCTCTTTTAATTTCTCATCCACAAAATTTTTCAATTCATCGTCCAATTTCTTCAAATCTTTAGAATATTTAGCATCTTTCTCTTTAAATTCTTCATCATGTAGCTTCTTCAGGTTATCCTTCCTATCTTCAAGCTCCTTCATTTTAACATCCGAATCCTTCATTTTAACCTCCAAATCCTTCATTTTAACTTCCGAATCCTTCTCTTTAACCTCTGAATCCTTCATTTTAACCTCCGAATCCTTCATTTTAACCTCCGAATCCTTCATTTTAACCTCCAAATCATTCATTTTAACTTCCGAATCCTTCTCTTTAACCTCTGAATCCTTCATTTTAACCTCCGAATCCTTCATTTTAACCTCCGAATCCTTCATTTTAACCTCCAAATCATTCATTTTAACCTCCGAATCCTTCATTTTAACCTCAGAATCCATCTCTTTGTCCAATACCTTCTTCTTATCCTTCTCATTTTTACTCTTATCTTCCATCTCCCCAAACTTCTTCATCTCTCTCTCCTTCAACTTCATTTCCTCTTTGATCCTTCCCATTTCTTTATTATATCCTTCCTTCATATTTTCAACTTCTTTTTTAAAATTTTTTGTCAATTCTTCCTTTTTATTTCTAACTTCTTTCCCCTTCACCTCTTTTTCCCCCTCCAATCGTTTTATCTTATTATCTTCTTCATCCTTTATTCCCTCTAACTCACCTTCCAGTTTCTTCAAAAACCCTTTTTCTCTCTCTTCATCCTCTTCAAAATTAATTTTCTTCAATTCTACCATCATCTTCTCTTTCTCCTTAATTATCTCAATCTTGTCTAGAACTTGTTTCAATTCCTCTTCATTTTTTATCTTCAATGTACCTTCATCTGGTTTAATTTTAAATCTTTGCTCGTTCAAGTCTACTTGCTTCAAATAAATTTTGTTTAAAATTTCATCGAATTTTAATTCAATAAATTCCTCTTTTAGTGTATTATCAAACTCATTTCCTGATCCTTTCAATTCAATTTTAAATTTAGACTCTTCCCATTTTATCCCTTTCAATTCTCTATTCAATCTAAGTCTTCTCAAATTATTTTTTAATTCGAACAAATTTTCTTGATTTTTTCTATTTTGTTTGACCAATTCATCTTCGCCCATAATTGACAAATCGTGGTTACTCAGTTTAACTTGTGTGATCCCTATATCCAAATGTTTAGTTGCCAATAATAAATCACTTCCATGATGAATTACGACTAGGGACATTAATGCTAAATTTGAAAAATAATTATATTTGAAATAAGGGTAGAACCCTGAGCCTATGTGTGCGGGATCGTCAGGGATTGGGGTTTGCCGTGGATCCTTCGGGGTTCGAGACGGCGTTTTTGCTAAAAAATAGTTGGAGTTGGGGTTTTGCCCGCATGTGGCTAAGCGTCGGGGTTTGTCGGGGTAGAGTCTTCGGGGTTCAGGTCTGGGTTTTTGTCTAAAAATTCGTCGGGGGTTGGGTCGGGTTTCGGAAGACGGGGTGCTACCCTAATTGAAATAAAGACCGATCTTGCAGAGAAAGTCCCTTTTCTCATGTAAAGACGGGTCTGTATATTCGGTGATTTTCAGGATATCCTGGATATCCACCACATCCCTAATACATATAACCCCTAATTTATACTCATATCAAAATAACAAATTAAAATCTAAAAATTTCATAAACCTTCATAATCAAGCTTTTCATTGTAATAATTAATGCGGTTAGCAATATCCTCGTTATATTGCCCCTTTCCTGCTAATCCAGTTATAATCAACATTCTTTTGATGTATTCAGGAAGTATCTCATTATTTTGATTTTTTATTTTGATAATTCCTCTACATTTCATTGTAAATTTTTTGCCGAATTCTTCGGCTTTTTTTGATTTGAATTCAAAAATGCTTAGAAGACGAGCAAAATATTTTATAAAATTTGATGCGTTGTAATTTTTATTTTCGATATTTTTGCCAAAATTCTCACAGAACGAGATGATTTCATTAGATATCTATATAGCAAAAGTAATTGTCTAAAGCAGATAGCTAGTTAATTCCTAAGACTGTTCAGTAAGGGAGTGTTGTAATGGATAACACTTAGTCCGGTCTAATGAAGATTCTGGTTCGCTCCCAGCCGCAGAATAAAGCTGAAGGAGAGAAATAGCTACCGAATACCAAACCCAAAGATCATTGTATTCTTAGACTATGATCGTGTCCGAGCTGACCCCCATATTCATATAATAATACGTACATTTCCCCAAATTATCAAAATGCTTTTATGCCTAAAGTTAACAGAGATAGTGATCTTTTACAAGCTTCTAATTATGAGATTTAGTTGACCAGCAGATGGAGGGGATTTAGCTAATATTTTCTATTTAAAATACTTCGCATTTTAGGACAAAATTTCTGTTTTAAGTTAAGAGCCACCGTCCCCGTACCACCATCCCCGTATCTCCACAAACCAGCCTCTTCACTAGAACAGCCTCCAAAAGGCGTAATTATAATCAGTTTTCTATTATACATAAAATTTCGAACCTTTTCAAAGTTTTCATCATCAGACGGATCCATTATACTAACATATTTTACTCTATTAATAATTATGTCCCATAATTCTTTGTTATCTTGATCAGCCTCCTTTTTATCTTGCAAAAGTTTCCCCAATTTTAATTTCTCTTCTTTGGTATCCCGTTTATCTGCATATGGATTTTCTGGCTGTTTATCCTCTTTTTTATTCCAAAAAGGATTTCCAAAAAAATTTCTCCCATTTTTGTCCGTTTCCTCTACCTTATCCAGTTCCTTTTCTGGCTCACTATCATATATTTCAATAATCTTTTTAAGTTCAAATTTAGGACGAGCCAAGATAATGTCGTACAAAATGTCAAAATCAAGGCTTTCTTTAATGAGAAAAAGCTTATGTTTTTATTTAATTCATTAAATTAGTGTTTCTCAATTTAATAACTTAAACTTATGATCGGTTTTTAATACAGTAAAACCTGTATTAATTTTCTCCCTCAAATAATCACCCCTCCTCTAGTGATTGCCATCTTTTGCGAGAGAGTGATTGCCCTCTTTCGTAGAGATTTTAAAACCCTCCTTTGAATAATTCGCCTATTTTTCCTACATTTTTAAAAAATATCGGAAAATCCTTATTAATTTTGATGATAGAACATATTAAGGAACAAAATAAAAATCATGAATTTAGGTAGTCTCAAGGTCAGGCTATACATAAGGTCGACAATCAACTACTCGGATATCTTGATGCTAAAATCTTAAGATATCGGAATCTTTCTGATATGGATATCAGATACATCTTTTGGTATACACCTCCTTAAATTACGATTAGTAGACCATAAGACTAGGCCCTTGCTAAAATCTTTCGCATTTTTAAATTAAAAGACAACCTGAATTTAATGTGTGAAATAAACGTTCTGCTAAGGCTTCAGATTTATCAACAATCAACAATTCCAATAATTCAGATCTTTTTATTTCTGAATTATACTCTTCAAAAAGGTTTTTAAGACATTCATTTAAATTATCCTAAAAAATAATAAAATGTCAATATATTAGTGGGTTATTAATAAATTACAGTTTCAAGTTTCATCACGTTTTTGCAATATGCCATTGCAGTTTCAGCCCTGCGCCATTGAGGAAGAGGCAAAAATAGATTGTTGATCAAGTTCCAACGAAAATCTATGATATTTTTTAATTAGATTACTCAAACTCGGAAGAGTTGTCCCATAAAGCGTCAACCCTACTCCAAGATGAATGAGGAGGTTATGTCTACTGAAGGATGAGGGCACGCTACTGAACCCAGAGCTAGAGCTTGTTTAAAATCCAGATTTCTATTATGGTTTAATGCATCTTGAAGGGTTGCTGATCCAGGATTTAAATTGATGTTATCAGCTAATACTTTGGAAACGAGCCCAAATTCGTGGTCTATGACATTGGATCGTTTTTAGACCATGGTCCGATAATACCAAAACCAAGTAATACTTGTAATAATTTAAAAATACCTTTAGTTGATTTACTTAATTCTTTATCATTATGAATTTCATTTAGAATCAACCATAAAGGCTTCCTTCCATATTTATGATCATAGCTATCAGGATACCAACGGCTGCATTTAGGACCTTCCTTTATTGGATACAAATGTAGAGGACGGCGAGGATCTTTTTCTAAACGATTTATTTTTAATTAACGGGTCTCCTATCTGATTCTTTAGAGATCATAACCAAATTCATTAACAGTTCCATATGAATATTAGGTTGATTGTTAGGAAATGATTAAAATAACATTATAATTGATAAAGTTGAAATCAGAGAAATATCTTGACTTCTTGACTCAAATTCAAAAATAACGCAAAACGCCAAAAGGAGGCAAACATAACGCCACAACAAAAAGACAAAAGACCCCAGAGTTATTACCCTAATTTATTCAAATCCATATCAGTGGTAAACACTTTATCATTTTAAAACCGGAAAGTTGATGAAAACCGAGAATAAAAAAATAATCCTTGATTCAAATTCTTAGAATTTAACAAAAATATCATATCCCTTTATATATTAAATGAGTTTTGGGAGACTTTGTTTATTGATTTTTCAAAGGACTTTTTTAAAGAAGAAAAGTCAATAATTATTGAAACGAAAATATGAGAACAATTAAGGATAAGAGTAAACAGAAAATTTTTCTCTAATTTGGCCAAAAATAAAAAGAACAAAAAAATACTTCTCTAATTTTGATTACCTTATTTACCTCGCATCAACCTTACTTTAAATGTAAACATCGAGTGCCCAGACAAAATGGTGCGCAAACAATGATCTACAAAAGGCCGAAACAGTTCAAATTTTTAAAAGGCCGAAACAGTTCAGCTTTTCAAAAGGCCTTAAGGTACAAAAGGTCTAATCAGCCTAAAAGTACAAACAGCTGGAATTTGAAAAGTTCTGGAATTTGAAAAAACAACTAAAAACACAAAAGTTTTTAGTTTTATCAAGTTATTCAGACATGTAGCCGCCGCGAGCTAAGAGAATAATTATTTAAACTGTCTTTTCCCCTTTTTACCAAAAAAATTCTTCAATCTGACACGAACCTTAATAAAAATTTTGTGTTTCTTACGGCTAAATAGTTGAATATGCAAAATATAGCTCTAATTAAAAAGTGTAAGGCGAACTAATCTGTCTCGCCTTTAATCATAAATTATT